CTGAATCACTGACATAAATGAACTTTTGCACCATATTCTAATTTTTAGTTTCATCTGTAAGGAATTGAAAAGACCTTAGTTTGATAAAGAGGGTCTGTTGTGTAAAGAGGTGTTGCTGACTTGTGTGTATTTGCTTTATTTTAACACACATAAGCTTTGTTTTAAAACACTGTCCAATATCACAGGATCTGTGTCTGGTCAGTAGCTGTAGTGGATTCACCAGGAAACCTACAGGTTACTACTAGCTGCTGGCTTCAGTGAATTTATTTTTCAAAAGTGTGGGAGACATGTATGGCTTCAGTGGTGGTGGTGTTTGAGGATCCAAAATGTACACAGATGTTTAGAATGTCTGGTCACTAACATAAAATTGTATCCATAGAACAGCCTTCCCTGCATGAGTTAAGGTGGGTGAGTCCATGAATGTTAGGTGACAATGTGATGTAGATCTGGCAGGCTTTTAAGAACCAAGCGTTATTCCATCTATTTTCAGTCAGAAGCTAATGGAGGAACTGGGGTAGAAGACGATTTTCATGTCCAGCCTGCATTTTAATTTCAGAATCATGGATCATTTTCAAAAATAATAAATAAAATATTATTTTTGAAAATGATCCATGATTCTGAAAAAAAAAATCAAAAATAATAAATAAAAATACCTCTCCCTGGGCTGCCCCCTTACTGTGGTGGAGGGGTTTGAGTGTCCCAATGATCCTAGGAGCTAAGTTGTCTGAGGCTTTATGCCTCTGGTAGGGTCACCCATGGCATACAGGTCTTAGGTGAGGGATCAGACAAAGAGCAGCCCGAAGACCTCTTATGATGAATTATATAAATGGAAACCATGTTCCCTCGCCCGGACGTAGGTCACCGGGCCCCCCCTCTGGAGCCAGGCCTAGAGGTGGGGCACGTTGGCGAGCGCCTGGTGGCCGGGCATTCACCCATGGAGCCCGGCCGGGCACAACCCAAAGAGGAAATATGGGTCCCCCTTCCCATGGGCTCCCCACTCATGGGCGGGGCCAAAGGGGTCAGGTGCAGTGTGTGACGGGTGGTAGTCGAGGACGGGAACCTTGGCGGTCTGATCCTCGACTACAGAAGCTGGCTCTTGGCACATGGAATGTCATCACTCTGGTGGGGAAAGAGCCTGAGTTGGTGTGTGAAGTTAAGAGGTTCCGACTAGATATAGTCGTTCTCACCTCAACTCATGGCTCTGGCTCTGGAACCAGTTTCCTTGAGAGGGGTTGGACTTTCTACCACTCTGGAGTTGCTCCCACTGAGAGATGCCGAGCAGGGGTGGGCATTCTAGTTGCCCCCCATCTTGGTGCCTGTACGTTGGGGTTTACCCCAGTGAATGAGAGGGTAGCCTCCCTCCACCTACATGTGGGGGGATGGGTTCTGACTTTGGTCTGTGCTTATGCACCAAACTACAGTTCAGACTACCCACCCTTTTTGGAGACCTTGGAGTTTGTGCTGGAGAGTGCTCCTTCCGGTGACTCCCTTGTTCTGCTGGGGGACTTTAATGCTCACGTGGGCAACGACAATGAGACCTGGAGAGGTGTGGTTGGGAGGAACAGCCCCCCTAATCTGAATTCGAGTGGTGTTTTGTTATTGGATTTCTGTGCCAGTAATGGATTGTCCATAATGAACACCATGTTCAAACATAAAGGTGTCCATATGTGCTCTTGGCACCAGGATACCTTAGGCCGCAGCTCGATGATCGACTTTGTTGTTGTTTCATCTGACCTGCGGCCACATGTCTTGGACACTCGGGTGAAGAGAGGGGCGGAGCTGTCAACTGACCACTACCTGGTGGTGAGTTGGCTCAGATGGTGGGGGAGGATGCCGGTCAGACCAGACAGGCCCAAACATATCGCAAGGGTCTGCTGGGAATGTCTGACAGAGTCTCCTGTCAGAAGGAGCTTCAATTCCCACCTCCGACAGAACTTCTAAAATGTTCAGGGGAAGGCGAGGGACATTGAGTCTGAATGGACCCTGTTCTGTGCTTCCGTTGTTGAGGAGGCCGACCGGAGCTGAGGTTGCAGGATCGTTGGTGCCTGTTTTGGTGACAACCCCCGAACCCGCCGGTGGACACCAGCGGTTAAGGATTCTGTCAAGTTGAAGAAAGATTCCTATCAAGTCTTCTTCCTCAAGTCCGTACGGCTTTGAGGAGTTTCTGGTACACCATCCGGCGCCTTGGGGGGGGGGGACGACAGTGACCTACCAACACTATTTATAGTGGGGACGGTGTGCTGCTGACCTCTACTCAGGATGTTGTGGATCGGTGGGCAGAATACTTCGAAGACCTCCTCAATCCCACCGACACGTCTTCCAGTGAGGAAGTAGAGTCTGGGGACTTTGGGATGGCCTCTCAAATCTCTGGTGCTGAGGTCACTGAGGTGGTTAAAAAGCTCCTCTGTGGCAAGGCTCCAGGGGTGGATGAGATCTGCCCGGAGTTCCTTAAGGCTCTGGATGTTGTGGGGCTGTGTTGGCTGATCCAGCTCTGCAATATCGCGTGGACATCAGGGGCAGTCCCACTGGACTGGCAGACCGGTGTGTTCCAACTACAGTGGGATCACACTCCTGAACCTTCCTGGTAAGATCTATTCAGGGGTTCTGGAGAGGAGGGTCTGTCGGATTGTTGAACCTCAGATTCAGGATAAATGATAAATAAATGACCCGCACTTGTATAGCGCCTCTCAGAGTAAGGACTCCAAAGCGCTTTACACTACAGTGTATCATTCATAGGAGCAATGTGGTTTTCGTCCTGGCCATGGAACACCGGACCAGCTCTATATCCTTAGGGGGATCCTGGAGGGTGCGTGGGAATTTGCCCAACCAGTCTACATGTGTTTTGTGGATTTGGAGAAGGCGTTTGACCGCGTCCCTCGGGGGGCCCTGTGGGGGGTACTCCTGGAGTATGGGGCACCAGGCCCTCTGATACGGGCTGTTACGTCCCTGTATGACCGGTGTCGGAGCTTGGTCCGCATTGCCAGCAGTAAGTCGGGCTCGTTCCCAGTGAGAGTTGGACTCCGCCAAGGCTGCCCTTTGTCACAGATTCTGTTCATAACCTTTATGGACAGGATTTCTAGGTGCAGCCAAGGTGTTGAGGGCATCCGTTTTGGTGGCCTGAGGATCAAGTCTCTGCTTTTTGCAGATGATGTGGTCCTGTTGGCTTCATCAGAATGTGATCTTCAGCTTTCGCTGGAGCGGTTTGCAGCCGAGTGTGAAGCAGCTGGGATGAGAATCAGCTCCTCTAAATCTGAGACCATGGTCTTGATTCGGAAAAGGGTAGAATGCCTTCTTTGGGTCAGGGATGAGGTCCTGCCCCCAAGTGGAGGAGTTTAAGTATCTTGGGGTCTTGTTCATGAGTGAGGGAAAACTGGAGAGTGAGATCAATAAGCAGATTGGTGCTGCATCTGCAGTGATGCAGGCGTTGTACCGGTCTGTTGTGGTAAAACGAGAGCTGAGTCAGAAGGCAAAGCTGTCGATTTACCGGTCAATCTACATTCCTACCCTCACCTATGCTCATGAGCTTTGGGTAGTGACCGAGAGAATGAGATCGCGGATAGAAGCGGCCAAAATGAGTTTTCTCCGCAGAGTGGCTGGTTAGGGTTAGGGTTAGGGTAGAGATAGGGTGAGAAGCTCAGTCATCCCGGAGGGGCTCGGAGTAGACCCGCAGCTCCTCCACATCGAGAGGAGCCAGTGGAGGTGGCTTGGGCATCTGGTCAGGATGCCTCCTGGATGCCTTGCTGGTGAGGTTTTCCGGGCACGTCCAACCGGGAGGAGGCCTAAAGGTGGACCCAGGACACGTTGGAGGGACTATGTCTCTCACCTGGCCATGGAACACCTTGGGATTTCCGCGGAGGAGCTGGCCCAAGTGGCTGGGGAGAGGGAAGTCTGGGCCTCTCGACTTAGGCTACTGCCCCCTCAACCCGACTCCGGATAAGCGGGTGAAAATGAATGGATGAATGGATAAATAAAAATAGTTTCTCGTGAACCTGCTCTGTAAGGATTTTGGAAAACTCATCTACTGTCCCATAACGTTGACTACCATAGTAACTGTGCTCTGGATACGCCCAGTTGTTGCTGTCTGAACGTTTAAATAAAATCTGGTTTATTTGATCTTTAAATAGCAAAGGGAGGTTTATACTTTTTTGTTAGGAGGAAAAATAAAAGCTCAATAGTAGAAAACCATGTTTCATAATGGCATTATACTTCCTTTCAGAGGTGTGACCAAGTCACTGCTTTGCAAGTCACAAGTCTTTCCAGTCAAGTCTTGAGTCAAGTCCAAGTTAAAGACAAGCAAGTCCAAGTCGAGTCCAAAGTCAATGATGTGGAAGTCCAAGTCGAGTCCAAAGTCAATGATGTGGAAGTCCAAGTCAAGTCCAAGACCTTAACTTAGAATTTTCAAGTCATAATCAAGTCATCTGTCCAACTTCAATTTAATAACAATAATAATAAATACATTCCAGAAATAAAACTTCTTAAAGCTTCATTTATTTGCTCAAACAAGCAGGAAATGCAACTGAAACTGATTATAAACAAAGTGCTGCTGCATTTAACAGTACAAGATCAAACCCAGAACCAAGAATTATTCATGATTTTTGTCCATGACGTGTCACTTTTGTGTTAAAATATCAAATATGCTCAAGTCATCATCAAGTCAACAGATGCAAGTCGATTCAGGTCGCAAGTCATTGGTGTTAAAGTCCGAGTCAAGTCATAAATCTTTATAGATTTTATCAAGTCAAGTCAAAGTCATTAAAATAATGACTCGAGTCTGACTCAAGTCCAAGTCATGTGACTCAAGTCCAACACCTCTGCTTCCTTTGGTTACAAAGTTGGAAAGCAAACCGTGATGAAAACGTGCCTTGGTCAGACCTGACTCCAGCACATATTTATAAAATACTATTACATGACACCTCTGTGTAGTTAAAAACTAAGCCAAAGGTTAGACAGAACAGAGAGAGGGCTTGGAGCCTCTGCTGTTAAACATGACCTTTTCTTACCAGCCAGTGTTGAACTCCACATGAGCATCAAAGAAGCCGACGACGGGAGCCGTGGCCGCGTTCCAGCCATGGATTCTGGCACGGATCAGGCCCTCCCGCTTGCTGTTTCTCACAATCTTCACCAAGCCAGGGTAGCGTTTGTTCACGTACTGATCCAGGTTGAATTTCAGCTCCACTAAAAGAAAAACGACAGAAAGCATCCTCAAAATTAGAACCAGTTGTGGACTTTTGAACATTTGACCATTGTTGGCTTCTCTGTTCTCTGTAAATGAAAGACTATGAGAAAAATAATGTGCATTTGGATGTTTGATTTGTTCCATTAATGACGATAACAGCCAGTAAAAGAAAATTGAAGTCTCATTAGCACTAATCAGTAACTATCTGTTGTTTATTAGATTTGTCAGCTATGCAAATTAATGTGAGCAGACTTCACACACACACACACACACACACACACGCACGCACGCACGCACGCACGCACGCACGCACGCACGCACGCACGCACACACACACACACACACACACACACACACACACACACACACACACAGAATCAAAAACTCCATTCACCTTTTCTGCCTTGTTTCAAACCTATTTAGATGCAGCTAATAGTGAAAACCTCATTTCTATACAAGAATAATGCTACTAAGTTGAAAAATAAGTGCAGTGGCACAATCTGTAACGCAAGCAGCCACCTTTTCTTTCACAGAGCTAACAGTAGAGTCCTGAAGTAAGAAAAGGGGTCAGCTCTGGACACAGAGACGGGTGGTTTGGGAGCACAAAGTAGAGCTGGAAGGAGTCATTAAGTATAAGTGGTAATTCCCACATCTACAGCTCAGCAGGAACTTGCTAAAATAAATATTCCTGCAGCCACTTTTGTAAAACAGCTGTGAAACATTTTTTTCAGCTAAATGTTGCTTTACAGTTTTAGCCATTTGCTTAAACACGATTGACAGATGCTAAAACCAAAGGAACCCAACTTGAAGTTGTTGTGGCTCTGCCTTAAACAAAGTGTAACATACCTTAGACAAAGTGCTGCTTTGCACTTTGGTTGCAATTCTGCAAAACACTAGCTCCTTTCTACAACACACTAGCTCCTGCTCACAACACACTATTTCATACATAAGACACTTTGTTCAAAAAGTAAATCTCACAGTACCATTGGGAAAACACAGCTATTCAAAATACAAAACACAGTCTGTCATTGAAAACAATTAGACACACACCTGAAAACAATTACTAACAAAACTGAACACCAATCAGTCAGCTACAAAAAGGCCTTAGCTAAGCCATTTTGGAGAACTTGCCAGCATGAAGGGGGAGAGCTAGAGGCAGAGCAAGAGGAGGATGTGGACAAAGAGGCCGTGCAAGGACCATAATTTCTGATGACATTAGGGCAACTGTGGTGGACCATGTCATAAACCATGGTCTGACCATGAGGGAAGCTGGACAGAGAGTCCACCCCAATCTTAGCCGTTTCACAGTCGCATCCATCATAAGGACATTCAGACAGGAAACCAGGTATGTCTTCAATTCCTCTACTACAGTAATGTAGCTTGAGTATTTACAGTACTGTCTCATCTTACATGTATATGTAACGTACATGTACTGTTACACCAGTACTGTACTGAAGGGTGGCTCCTTGTGTTGTGACACATATAATCATGTCGTGAGATGTTTTACAGTACTGTAATACAAGTACAGTAAATACAGTTTGTATAGTACTGAAAAATAGAACAAAACGATTCCAAATACTGGTTGCATTGTTTTCTACAGAATGATCAGAAGACCTACTGGCGGTGGACGTCAATCCCTATTTACTAAACAACAAGAACTTGCATTAGTGGACATGGTCAGGGCAAATAATGCGAGCCGTCTCCACCAGCTACAGAGTCACATAATTGCAGATAGACAGAGTTTTGGCAATGTAAATACAGTATGCATTACCACCATTAGACGCATCTTGACAAAGCACCATATTACAATGAAACAACTGTACAGGGTTCCATTTCAAAGGAACAATGCCAGAGTGAAGGAACTTCGACGTGAATACATACAGGTAAGCGTTTCAGTCCTCTACATTTACAATACAAAAAAGGAGCAGTCAAATAGCTGAGTCTGTACCATTGGATCAGGACCACATTGACACTGTATATTCAGAAAGCTAAACCGGCCCCTGAGGTGGTTCAATTCTGTATCAGTGTAGTTGTGTACTTTGAGTAATGCCATCCATACAGTACTGTACAGTACAGTAATATGTACTTTTTCTTGCAGAGAATGCTCGCCATGGATGGAGCTGCTCAGCCTCATGAGTGTATTTACATCGATGAGGCTGGATTCAATCTGACAAAAAACAGACGACGGGGGCGTAATCTTATTGGCCGAAGGGCAATTGTCCACGTCCCTGGGCAACGTGAAGGAAATATTACATTGTGTGCTGCCATTAGCCTTCAAGGGCTACTGCACCGTCATTTCAAATTGGGGCCCTACAATTCACAGGAAATACTCACATTTCTTGATGGTCTACATGACATCATCATACAGAATAGACCAAAGCAGCCCAGGTTAGTTGTTGTGTGGGATAATGTTAGTTTCCACCGGGCTGCTCTGGTCCAAGACTGGTTTACTCATCATGAAGGATTTGAAGTGGTGTACTTGCCCCCTTACACCCCATTTTTGAATCCTATAGAGGAGTTCTTGTCAGCATGGAGGTGGCGCGTATATGACCGCCAACCCCACGCCCGAATGCCACTTTCACAAGCAATGGAACAGGCCTGCGGAGATATTGAAATCGGGTCAATTCAGGGATGGATTAGACACACAAGGGGATTTTTTCCCCGATGTTTAGCTGGAGAAGATATTGCTTGCGATGTGGACGAGGTCCTGTGGCCCGACCCCGACAGACGGCAGGATCCATACATGTAACTTCTTTTGTGTGAAGTTCAGTTTGTTTTATTTTTGCTTTACAGTAACTGAATTTCCTGTCATATGAATTTCACTACTGTAATGTAATTGCAGTAATGTTGATTTCAGTATTTTATTTTTGGAATTATGAGAAACATCTGGAATTGTAACTGAATAAATAAAGTACAAGTGAAAGACTGCAGTGTTTTATTTAAAGTAGACTAGTGTGTTGCTGCAGATATGAGAGTGTATTGACATGTGGAAGTGGGCATCATTTAGTCATCAAAGTGAGGTTTTGACAAAGGATTGTTCAGTTTTGATGGCAGAGTTTGTATCTGGCATAGATGTGAATGGTTTATTTCCCAGTGTTCTTTCGTACTTCCTTGTGTGTGGAGTTTTGGCACCATGAGCCAAGTTTTGTAAAGTGTGTTCAAGCAATGGACTAAAACTGTAATAAATAGTTTTTAACTAAATAAATTATGGCTTCTAAACATTTAGAGCAGTGTTTAATCCTGGTCCTCAAGGCAGTGGCGCCACCAAGGGGTCCCCCCAGTGCATGATGGTTGATGCCACTTTAAGAGGCATATTTTTAAATGTAATATGTCACATGTCAGTGACCCCTCCAGGCTGCTCCTGTTCAGCACGTGAATGGCAGCCAGTCTGAACGCCATACAGAACCCAGGCCTTATCACGAGGCTTTAGGATGCCTGCAAGTTTTGCTGAAAACAATTCATCACCAACTCATTGAAATCTTGTAGTAGAGCAGTAATGCGTGCAGTACAGGGGCTCTAAAGTGAAAAGGGCAGAAGTCAAATTGTTGTTTACAAGGTTTTCTCTGCATCTTATTGTGGCAAACCTGACGGTTCCTCTGGAGGATGAATAAGCCACTGTATGACCCCAAAGTGAACTCTCTGCAAGGATCCTGCGACCAGTGAGATCATTTCCCCAAATAATATGTTCAGAAGGAAAGTAAAATGTTAAATTTAGTGTTTTGGAAATATTTGAGGGGGTACTAGAACTTGAACTGAAACGACGGATTGGGGCTCCTCCCTGACCGCGCACCTGCAGGGAAACGTAACCTGCATCCACTTCTGCTGACGACCCCTGGATGCAACTACAACAGGACACAGCGAAGAAGAGACGCTGGAAAAGGATAACTACTTCAAGCACCTGCACCCAAATCTCAAGACTGGTTTCACGGTCAAAGACTTGTAGGACTTTTCGGGGACGAGGTCAGCTCCCTGACAATTGGACAACCGCCTCGACACGACACGGAAGGACCCTGAAGTCTTCCTATTGAGAAGTTGGAACTTGCGCTTCATGTTCCGAACTACGTTATTACGCTCCGGACCTGGACTTCAAGGTACTCAACGTAAGACTGAAACCATCCTGACCAACGGAAGATGACTCTGACTTTCAAACCTATTCTACAACCGGGACTCTCAGTCCACAGACAAGCCCTTTGATGAAGAACGCCTGGTTTGCCTCAGCTCTACCATAGTTAGTGCTGCGTAAATTAATATTACACCTTCATTTTTCCTCATTCACAGAAAGATTTGTCTGCAACTTGGAGCTTTAAACTAAATTCAGCTGATGTTTGGATACACTGTACTGATGTTTTCTGTGTATTATGTGGTTTTGCAAACCCTTCCCAATCTCCTTACAGGAACTGCCATAAAATTGTAGAATTGTGCATCACAGTAAATTCATTTCAATATGTATGAAATAGTTTTTCTCAAGGTTATAATTGTGTTGATTTAGCTGATTCCATTCTCTATCTCTGTGAACTGCTGTAAGATATTATTGTCAGTTGCGTTTACATTATCGTGTTTATTACCTTATTTGTTCTTATTATTTTGCTGATTTTTGTATTGAACTTTGTATGGAATGATTCTTTGGACAAGTTAACAGCATTGAGATTACGATCCGCAATTGACACATGATTGCAGCACCTCATGCTGTGTTGCCTTATCGTGTTGATTCTGAACCTTTTCATATCTGATCGTGGTGTTCATTACTTTACTTATTATTTTTCTTGTTTTGATGCTTATCATTTTTTGTCTAGAGTCGTGATTGATGTAGCTTTCATGGATGATGGTGACTAGTTATGTCAGTGCATACAATTCCTTATTACTTTACCTATTTTGTTTTCCTTATTTGGTTTTGTTTGTTTTGTTGCTTCCCTTTGTTTGGTTATCCTATTCGAATAAACAGGAGGGAATGTTATGGAAAATTTATGTTTATTAATTCTTGATGATTGACTCAATCAAC